ATCTCCATTCCCCTCTGCAAATTTGGATCTTTAATTCCTCTCCTTTTCTGTTATTGTTGTCTCAGAATGTCCCCATGTATGCTAAATGTTCATTTCTAACTTACAGCAGCAATTTTCTTATTGTTTAGGCTTATAATGTCCTATTCTTAGTAAGGACACTATGCACTATGCTGCTTCTGTCTGCCTGCTAGTCATCTTTCTCAGAGTTAGCTGTGTATTTTTTTGTCATTTTGTTTCAGGTGGTTGACTCCATTCAGTATTTTCTGTAATGCAGGCCACATAGTGGGGACTTTCCTCAATTTTTGTTTGTCTGGAAAGGTCTTTATTTCTCCTTCACATCTAAAGGAGAGCTTTGCTGATTACCTTATTCTTGGCTGGTAGTTCCTTTCATTTAATAGTTTGAGGATTTGGTTCCATTCCTTTCTGGCTTGTAAGGTTTCTGCTGAGAAGTCTGATTATAATCAAATAGGTTTTCTTTTGTAGGTTACAGTCTTCTTTTCCTTGGCTGCCCTGAGAATTCTTTCTTCGTTGTTGATTTTCGATAATTTTAATACAGTGTGTCTTGGAGAAGGCCTTTAGGTTGAGATAATTGGTGTTCTGTTGACTTCTTGAAAACCAAGCTCCAGTTCATTCCTTAGATTTGGGAAATTCTCATCAGCTATTTTTTTCTGAAAATGCTTTCTAATCCCTGCTTCTTTTCCTCCCCTTCGAGAATGCCCATTATTCTTATGTTTCCTTTCCTGATGGTATCATTCTTCAGTCATTCTCTTCTTCCTTCTGATTTATTTCTGGATTTCTGTCTTCGATATCACTGATTCTTTCCTCCGTTTGGTCCACTCTATTTCCCAAGCTTGCTATTTCATTCTTCATATCTTTTAGTGTCTTCATCTCCAGAAGTTCTATTTGGTCTTTTATAGGGTTTCAATCTCCTTGCTAAAAACTCATTCTGCTAATCTAGTTGTTTTTTCAATTCCTGGAATTGTTGATACGAATTATACTGGATCTCATTGAGATTTTTCAGAAATAACATCCTGAATTCTCTGTCATTTAAGTTGCATATATCTATGTCTTTAGCCAATTTTCTGGAGATTTTTCTCTTTCTTTCTGAGCTGCCTTGTCACTGTGATTGTTCATGGTGTTTAATGGACTGTTTCTCCGCCTGGGCATTAATGGAAGTGTATTCTGCCTTTCTTTTCCTCCCAGAAAGATTATATAAAGGTCTCTCTTTAGCCTTTTGCTATGAAGGCATTTTTCTTTTGGTTTTCAGTAGGTGGCATCTAAGCCTCTTGGATCCCTGCTGTATATAAAGCCTTCAGAATGCCTTTTTTTTTCTCATTTAATCATACTTGCTACCCTCAGTCTCGGTCCCTGTCAGTGTTAGCAACAGTTTCAATAGCATTTGCTGAGATTCCCTTGGGGGCTCGTGGTGTTCAGTCTCTGAGGATATGGGAGGAGGTACCCTCTGGGTTGGAGGGCTGTGGCTCAGCCTCATGTTTTGCAAAAGGGTTCCCCTTTTCTCAGCATCCTCACCGACATTTGTTATTTGTTGACTTTTGATAATAACCATTCTGTTAGGTGTGAGTTGATATCTCATGGTGGTTTTGATTTGCATTTTCCTGATACTTAGCATTTTTTCCTATGTTTCTTGGTCATTTGTGTTCTTTGGGAAAATGTCTATTCAGGTATTCTAACCATATTTAATTTAAAAAAAGAACACAGATGCAAAAGTCTTAAATACTAGCAAATTGAATACAGTACCATATATTTTAATTTATTAATTTTTTATTAAATTTATTGGGGTGACATTGGTTAACAGAATTATATAGGTTTCAAGTGTACATGATGTCATATGTATATTGCATTGTTTTCACCATCCAAAGTTAAATTTTCTTCCATAACCATATATTTGACTCCCTTACCCTATCCGCCTTCCCTCCAACCTCTTTTCTTCTGCTAACCACTAAACTATTTTCTGTGTCTATGAGTTTTTGTTTGTCTTGTTGATTGTTCATTTTTTGCGTGAGTTTCTTTTCAGATATGACAAATCTTTTTCCTATTAATTTTTTTATAGACTATATGGATCTATTATGAAAGTATGATACTCTGGATTAAAAGATAAAAAATAAATGATTATTTTAGTTGATGTATATTTATGTTGCTTCCAAGTTTTCATTGTTATAAATAATGCTGTAATTACCAATTTTGGACCTACACTGTTACATCATTTCCTTGCGAAGTATTCCTATAAGTATACATATGCAAATTTTAAATGCAATATGTTGTTAAAATGCAGAATCAGCAGTTTTTTTCTATAAAGGGCCAAATAGCAAATATTAGAGGCTTATGGGCCAAGAGAACAAATTGAGGTTATTATAAATGTACTCATATATAACAAGAAAGAAATTTCCATAAGTCTTTACTGATGAAATTAAAATAGTTAAGTAAAATTTTCATAACAGGTCTATAAATGTGAATAATGGAATTAGGGGGAGGAGAGATTAGTGTTGAAAGTTGGCGCTCCTTAATATCAAAATCTGTTGCAAATGTTCATCTGTTAATGCTGATTTGTGATGAGATTTTACATATTTTACCTTTGCAAATATTTTTCTTCATATGTAGGTACTAACAAATATTGATATCAGTCCATAAGCATACAGTTTTAATTAAGCATATTCACCAATTAGAAGTCATTTTTAGAATTCTTTAGCCAAAAGATTAGAATGCCTTTAAGAAGTCATTACCTTGCAAATTAATCACTTCCAATTAAAGTTCCTCAACTATACAGTTAAATAGACTTCAGAATATGGAAATTTCTTTGCACTTGCATCAAGGTTGAAGAATGTTGTTGTGGATTGAAATCAGAAAAGACATTGCTGGGAGTTTGTGTAGGAATGGAGTTCTCACTTCTTTTTCAACTGTTGACAGTACAGGAAGTATATAAGATTACTTGTAAGCTTGGCATTACTTGCAAATCAAACAATGTTAGTTCTCATTGAAATAACTTTACAACAGTATAAATTTCACATACAAGTACCATTGCCTCATACTTTTAGGTTGAAACATTTTCAAGTCTGCAGCATAAGCTAATCCCAAAGCTGTTCAGAGCTAAGGGTAAAGTTCTTCATGATATCATTTATATGTGGGATATAAACCTAAAAGCAACAAATGAACAGGACAAACAAACAGAGACTCATGGACATGGACTATATAGACTTGTGGTTACCTGAGGGAAGGGAGGAGGGGGATAGAGGAGGTAGACTGGATAAAGGGGATAGAAAGAAATCTAACTATGGGAGGTAAACACACAGTGTAAACATATATGCCTTACTGTTAAAGTGTACAGCTGAAACTTAGTGGATTTCTTTAACCAGTCACCATATACACATTTTTTAATATTGAGAAGTCCAGAGACTAATAAAAATATTAGATTGTGGGAAAAATAAAAAATAAAAATAAAAGTGTAAATAAACACCATTCCTAACTCAAGAACTGTATAAATACTGCCATTTGTGATAACGTGGATGGATCTTGAGATTAACATGCTAAGCGAAAGAAATCAGACAGAAAAAGTTGAAGACCATGTGATTTCACTCATGTGTGATATAACACTAAAAGCAACAAACAAGACAGAGACTCACAGACATGGACAACAAGAGCAAAGGAGGAGGTAGATTGGGGTAAAGGGGGTCAAATATATGGTGACAGAAGAAGATTTGAGAATGGGTGGCGAATACACAATACAGTATACAAATGATGTATTATTAAACTGTACACTTGAAACCTATATAATTTTATTAACCAGTGTCACCCTCCCAAAAAATAAATGAAAAGAACTTGATTAAAAAAAAAAAAGGCATGCTATTATTTAGCCCATACGCCATAGTTTACAGACCCCTTCTCTATTAAGTCTTATATTCCTAGTAAATGTAAGTGCCTGTCTCCCTACCAAACTTTGCAACCAGTAAATATTAACTTTAAAAATTTTAATTTGAAATTATATTTTTTCAATTTGCATTTCTTTGAGAGTTAATAAAGTAAAATGTCTTTTCATGATTATAAGCTATATATTTCTTCATTGTAAACTTCATATTGTTCCATTTTTATTGCAGTAAAATTTTCATTACAACCTTCTGTCTACCAAAAAGAGTTCTACGCCCTTGTTAGTGGCTCCACCTACTTGTTTTAGTATTATTTACCATTGATATCTCTCATGCATCCAACACTCCTTTCATACTGAAAGACCTGCTATTGCCTGACAGAACTGTCTCCTCAAGCTTCTCTAGATAATCATTCATTCTGTCACCTTTTCTCCATCTTCCCTCCTAACTCATTTATCCTTCAAGACTCAGATCAAGGATCAGTTCCTCCTCTTTGGCTTCGGAGCACTCTCTGCAAATATCTGCTATAAAATCTAGCACACTATTATGTAGTCAGTTAACTGTTGTTTTCGGTGATTTGTCTCCCCCGTCTGTGCCCAAAGCTTCTTGAGACCTGGTATTGTGATTGAGCTCTGTATTTGAGAACAGTATGGCACTTAGTGAGAGATGATGTGTTGACTGAATGAGTTAAAATAATATATTAATATTAACAATATGTACCAGACATATAAATATCAGAGACAAATTGATGTGGGTAGTATCCACACAACTGAATTTGGAAGAAGCTCTCTCAGATTTTTCATTAAAATCTCAGCAAAGGAAACAGTAATTAAGCTTTTTATTCCCTGACAAAACTGATTATGTCAAATATTTGCTTTAAAAACTTGTCTTTTCCCCTAAAGATTTATGATAACTTATTTAAATAATTGCTATTATTTATAGCTGTGATTTCTATTTCAGAAAAATTCACTTATGCTAGAAGAAAACAAAATTCAAATACAAAACAATATTAATTGGTCATGTCTGTTTTGTAATCTGAACAGTAAGTTCCTTCAAAGTGTCCTTTGTTACTTGACCAACATTCATTTTGAATTAATCTTTTATTTTGCTTTATTTCCAAAGGACATTCATTATCTTGCACTAGATAAGGGGGAATTGGCACTAGCTGAAGTGGCAAGAAAAAGAGCTAGCGACATTGATGCAGAATCAATAACCTCTGGAGTTGGTAAGAATTAATGCTGTTTTTTAAGTGCTTTTTGTTTTAATCAATACTTACTCAGTATCATTTCTATTTATGATTGTAGGGCATGGTTGGTTAACTTGAATTACTTTCTTTGGATAGATGGTATCTTAAAAAAAAAAAAAAAGAATTAAACCTGGCTAAGTAATACAATAGGGATATATAAGTTGAAATTGTGTTCATATGAATATTGATAATCAGTGGTTAATCACTTAGCAAAATAAAAAGGACTTTGTTCTTTTCATAAGATTTTGAAGAAAGGAGTTTATTAACAGCTATTCCTGGCCCTATGCTTTTCTACTTAAATTAACCAACACAGGAACTTATATAATCCTTTATTTATACACAGAGACATATCACATCACAGAAGAATTCTCACCTACATCAAAGTACTTCACATGGGATTTTAGGTTTGATAGGTGATTTGTTTTCATTTAGAAGCCACTAGTCCTTTAACAGTGAAGTCTTCTAAAGAAGACAAATTAAAAGCCTAACTTGAATCTCAAAGTCTTTTCAAAACTTTATAATATAGAATATTTTTTAAAACTATTATAATATCAGCATGAGCTTCCTTTTTCTAAACTCAGTTTATCTAATGGGACTAAATCTGGAAGTACTAATATCTGGATATCCCAATTCCTATTCTTCCTGGTATTTCCTACGTCCAGAATAGGCAACGTATCCTCAGAATTGTAACAGATTTCATTTATTTGTGGAACTTCTATGAAACAAAGAAGTTTTAATAAGATTTCCACTTTGTAAGTTGTTTGAAAATATTAAACAAGTCTCTCCATTGACAGATCATTTTGCACTTTGTTTTTGTAATGCTCTTTGCAGTCAAAGGGAGCAATTGTCAGCTTCTCTTTAAAATTATCAGAGATCCCAGTTTTCAAGCTGGTACTGAAGAACACAAAGCCATACCACCAAGGTAGCTCTAAACCTGGATACCAAAGCTGACAGTAACATACCAGAAAGATAATTCTGTTCTATCCCAACCCTGCAAGAGTTCCAAGTTAATCAAATCCAAAGATGCATAAAACAGTTTCAAATCTCCATTCCTAATCAATAAGGAATGCTCACTATTAATACATTAGATAAGAGTAACTTCAATTGACTTATCACTATATCTTGTTACTTGCTAAGTATATTGATGTACCTCCAAGTAATAAAAATAATAATAGTTATTGAATGCTTACTATGGGCCAGATACTATTCTAAGTTACAGATATTAACTAATTTAATCCTCAAAACTCTATGAGGAGGTAGTTTATATTATAAGAAGTCAATTTTAATTAAATAATGAAAGCATACCATGTTAATAGGAATTATGATGTTATACGAGGGGACACAAATATCTTCCATTCCTATCCCGCTAGCCAGTTAGGAAAACACAAGAGAAAGATTAATTCATAGCAAATTTTATGGGAATTTCCTTCATTATGTATCCTGCCTTATGTATTATACCAGGTTATCAGATATAATGGAGGCTATCTTTGCATTTTACAGCTATTTAAAGTTACTAGGGGTAAAAAGGAATGTGAAATGATGAAATTTCAGAAAAACGAAGAAATTCCACTATTCACCAAAATGTATCCTATGTATTTTTTAATCAGATTGCTATGGCCAGCTGATGTTTCCTAGCCAGAGAGCTTGATGTTCTCATTTTGAGTCAGGCTTCTTTTCTAGCAAATATCTTTTCTTCACTGAAACATTGTCACCTCTCGATTCTCAGCCTTTTTTCAGGCCTTACCCTTTGACCTAGATTGACAAAGATACCATTCAGTAACAACAGTAACTGTCAAGAGGTTAACATCTTAGATGAATGTTCTGCTTTACTTTTGTTCCAGAAAACTGGGGTGTTTCCCCACTCACAATTCCCAGTGGAATTAAGAGAGTCTCTCGTTTCCTCCTCATAGTCTCTTCCTTACAAACCAAATTATGCTGGAGAAAGCTAATTTTCTCTCAAATTCCCTGAATTTAATTTAAATTTTCTCTCTCAAACTTTTCCAAAAGCAGAAAGTAATTAAGCTTTTGGCTTTCCATGGGGTTCCCTGATTCTAGCAAGAGGGCGAATTATGTAAACTATCAAGAGTACTTAAGTAGAAGTAGTTCATTCTACATTCGAGTCTGTGAAAAAGTATTACACATAGTAGCTATCAACTAGTTAAAAGAGGTGCCCAAAGGGTTGAATGATAATCTGTACAATTTTGGGAATTTTTTAAATTATTTACTGATACATACAGAAAAGCACACGAATCCTGAATGTATGACTTAGTGAATTTTCACAAAGTGAACATATCCTTGTTACCAGTGTCCTGACCGAATAATATATATTACCAGGACCCCAGACCTCTTATACCCACTTCAAGATACTACACCCCTGCCCAGCCCAACTATCCTTCTTTATAATACCATAGATTAGTTTTGCCTTTTTTTTTAACTTTAAATAAGTGGAATCATACATACATTCTTTTGTATTTGGCTCCTCTTATTCAATATTACGAGTATGAGATTTTTTTATATTGTTACATGTAATTTCAATTCTCTCATTCTTATTGCTGATATTCTTATATATGAACTCACTATTTTATTCTACTTTTAATGAATACTTGTGTTGTTTCAAGTTTAGAGGTATTGTGAATAGTGTTACTATAAACATTCTTGTGCATGTCTTTTAATGAACATATGTACACAGATCTGCTGGTTATGTGCTTAGAAGTGGTATTGCTGGCACAAAGGTTATATGACTGTGTTTGGCTTTAGTAGCTACTTCTAGTATACCCAAGTAGTTGTACCAATTTACCTTCTCACCAACAGTGCATGAGTTCCAGTTTGCTCCAGAGTTTTAAGTAACTGACATTAAGTCTTAATATCTGATAATGCAAGTTGTCCAGCTTTGTTCTTCTTTTAGATGACCATAGCTATTCCTAGCCATTTATATTCCCATGTAAATTTCAAAATCAGCTTGCACCTTCAAAGAAAAAAGGGGGCGGCTGAAATTTTGGTGAGAATTGCATTAAATCCTAGACAAATTTGGGCAGCACTGATTTCTTTATAATATTGAGTTTTCCAATCCATGAATATGATATATCCCTCCACTTATTTAGATCTTCTCTAATTTTTTCTCAGAACTGTTTAATAATTTTCTCTGTAGTGGTCTTGCACATATTCCTTTAGATTTATTTTTTTTCCTCCACTGAAAGAGCTTTAAATTAATTATAGTACAACTCATGCAATAGAATACTATGCTGAAGTTCAAAAGGATATGAAAGAATGTCATGTATTGATATTTGTGTAGAAAACTATATACTCACACATATCCTGAAAATCTGGAAGGATATACACTTTACTTTTATCAATGGTTATATCTGAAGAGTGGGAATTTCTGAGGAAATTTCTATTTTCTACTTTTTATACTTCTTAATTGGGTGAACTCACATAATAGGCAAACATCATATGGGTACTAAGGTTTTTACTGACATATAATTGATATTATATTAGTTTCAGGTATACAACATAATTGATATCTATATATATGTGTGTGTGTGTGTGTGTGTGTATATAGTGAAATGATCACCACAATAAGTCTACTTAATGTCTATCACCACACATAATTACTATTTTTTTACTTGAGAACTCCTACAATTTACTCTCTTAGTGACTTTCAAATATATAATACAGTATTATTAAATATGGTCACAGTACTGTACATCAAATCTCCAGAACTTATCTCATTTTATAACTGAAAGTTTGTACCCCTGACCTCATTCACCCATTTCACACACTCCACACCTCTGGCAACCACCAATCTGTTCTATAAGCTTTGTTTTTTTTTGTTTTTTTTTAAAGATTCTACATATAAGTGAGATCATATAGCATTTGTCTTTCTCTGACCTACCTCATCCAATATAATGCCCTCAAGGTCTATCCATGTTGTCACAAATAGCATGATTTCCTTCATTTTCATGGCTGAATAATATTCCATTATATATATTTCAGATTTTCTTTATCCATTCATCCACTGATGGACACTTAGGTTGTTTCAATGTCTTGGCTATTGTAAATAATACTGCATTGAACAGGGGGGTACATATATCTTTTTGAGTTAAGTGTCTTTGTTTCCCTCAGATAAATGCGAAGAAGTGGATTTGTGGAATCATATGATAGTTTCTATTTTAAATTTTTTGAGGAACCTCTATACTGTTTCTCATTGTGGCTGTACCAATTCACATTCCCACCAACAGGGTACAAGGGTTCCCTTTTATCCACATCCTCACCAACTAGTTATTTATATTTTTGATAATAGCCATTCTAACATTTGTGAGTAATATCTTGTGGTTTTGATTTGCATTCCCCTGATGATTAGTGATATTGAGCACCTTTTCATGTACTTATTGTCCATCTGTATGTCGTCTTCTTTGGGAAAATGTCTATTCAGGTTCTGTGCCCACTTTTAATTGGGTTGTCTGGTGTTTGGATGTTGAGTTGTGTGAGTTCTTTATATATAATATATATATATATATGATATGAATCCTGTATCAGGTATATGAATTGCTAATATTTTCTCCCAATCTGCAGGTTTCCTTTTCATTTTGTTGATGGTTTCCTTTGTTATGCAGAAGCTTTTCAATTTGAATTAGTTCCACATATTAATTTTGCTTTCATTGCCTTTACTTTTTGCGTCAGTTCAAAAAAATCACTAAGATCAATGTCAAAGAGTTTACCACCTATGTTTTCTTCTAGGAGTTTTAGGGTTTCAGATCTTATATTCAAGTCTTTAATCAATTCTGAGTTAATTTTTGTGTATAGTGTAAAATGGTGTTTCAGTTTCATTCTTTTGCATGTGACTATCCAGTTGTCCCCAAACCAATGATTATCCTATGACTATCCTTCCCCCATTGGATATTCTTGGCTCCTTTCTTACAAAAATTTTTAAATATATTTTTAATTATAGGTGTCGTACAGTATTACATTAGTTTCAAGTA